TATTCAGTGCAGCTGCGTGGATCCGCGTGGCTCTTACTCTCAGGACCGGCTTCACAGCCGGTGTCAGGGTGAGGAGTCACACCCAGAGAGTGGGAGGGAAGGACTCTATGGAAGTTGCCTATTTTGTTAACAAAACCACTTAACTAGAAATCTCTATTGTTTTGCCTGACAGAAAAGTTAAATGCTGGAAAACACTAATTTGAGACATAGGGCCATGCTACTGGGTTGGAGGGGCCTTCTCAGCCTCCTGCTGTCCACTCTCCTTGCCCCACACCCCTGCCACTCTCCACATAACAGCTTGAGAAATCCTTCTAAAAATGCCTTGGTCAGATCATGCCACCTTCCTGTTCAAAATGATGCACAGCCCAGGGCTTTGCATAACATTCATAAATACAACCCCAAAGTCCTTCTGGATCCTGGCCAACTCTCAAACTCATTTCATTCTCCTCTTTGAGCTCTCAGCTTTATCCATACCGGAAGTTTCCTTTCTATTTCTGGAACACTCTAATCCCACTTTCTCGTTCAGGCCTTTGCACTTGCTGTTTCCTCTGTCTCGAACATTGTTTCCCCAGAGAGACACTGACTCCCATTCCTTACTTAGGTCAATGTCACTTTCCAGAGGCCTTGTCTGACCACCCTGTCCCCTCTGTCCACTTTAACACTCACTTCTGTCTGGCAATCTATAGTATGCCTCTTTACTGTCTACTCCACTGAAAGTGAGTTCCTTTCGGAAAAGGACCTTGCTTGTTGTGAATACTGATGGGTCCCCAGTGTCTGGATGGAGTCTGGTGCACAGCTAATGTAAATTGTTTGTGGAATGGATGAATGAAGAATGAATGAATGAGTGAGAACCATAAAAAATAATATGGTGACAGAAACTCAGGCTAATGGGTTTATAAATGCTTCTTGAGAATAGTCCTTCAACACAGAAGATTTTCATTATATAAGCAATTAATTTATCTGAATTGACCTTTGCAGAAATGAAGGTGGGAGGGAAGGAAAGAAGTGGGGCAGGGACAGAGAGACAGGCGTGGAGGTGGGTGGCTAGAGATGGGGTCAGAGTTAGGGTGAGTAGTGGTACAGTTATCTGTTCATTCTAGCAAGCAAAAGATTTAATCGAGCCTGAAATAGTCAATGTCTTTGGTGAAAATCCATGGAAAGATTGTATGAATGATTTTTAGGGTTTCCCTTACCAACAATAAAGATGTGAAACAGATTTTTACCAAGGGACTTAGTAAATGGGTGGTGAATGATTTGTTGACATGTTAATGTAGGAATTGAAAATTAATCAAAAGCCCTAAAGAAATATTAGAGGAATTGATAAGATCACCAACAGAAGATATTGAACTCTATGGGGAAATGAAGGGATTTTCAAGGGTAATTTGAATTATATGAGATTTTCTCTTTATAGGCTGACCCATCTAGTCCTGGAGTAAGATGTGGCATCATCATAAAGAGAGAAAGAAAGACTAAGATTTGATCTAGGTGTGTACTAAAATTGGTTGGGTTGGTAGAAGAAGATGTTCTTCTTCTTTCACTTCTTCAAGTGGAAGTGGTTCTGTGTCCCACCCATCTTTGTAGGTGGTAGGTATTTAGGAAGGACCTTGATGTTGACCAAAACCAAACTATCAGAAGTTGTGAAATCTAAGCACCTCTGTCTGGCTTACTGTCACCTCTGCATTACAGAGAATACAGAGGTGGGATATGGGCTGTCAACTTCCCTGCTTGCCATATAGTTGGTGATTCATTAGAATTTCCCATTCCACACTACATTAACTAAATTTCTTGTCTTGATGCATGTCAGTGCACAGCACATAATTTGGAAGCCAGCACATAATTTGCATGTGATCTGTAATCCTTGGGGCTAGCCTCTGCGAAGGTTTTAAAATTTTGGGCTCACTTGTCTGTGCATTCTTTACACAACCTCAGCTTGGCAGGCCCGAAGCGGGAACGGATGCTCACGGTGGTGAGGGAGAGTGACAGTAGGAGTGAAGGGAAGGATTATGGAATTTGAGATGATGCAAGATCACATATAAGATTTGCTTGCTCTGGGACACAAGAATGCTTTTTAAAAAAATTAGCTAAGAGTTGGAGTAAAGGTGACTTTGTTTCTGCATTTCTGAAATATACTTTGTCTCCCTCTCCTTTTGTGTTATGTGCATTTGTTATGGGTGTCAGGGTGGGGCTGATGAAATCTAATGACCCTTGCTGAGAGATTGGTTCACAATGACTTGTGTTTAATTCTGAGAAATATTTTTATTTTTTTAAGACAAGCAGCTATGACATCACCCACGTGGCATAGGAAGCTACGTTTGTGGCATCTCACAAATTCTGAAATGTGTTGTTGACCTGGGTCCACTTTTCATTTTATGATTCTTTATTTGCATTCTGAAGTGAAAGATACAGCCTTGTCTTAGTTTACAAAAATTCTATAGAGCACACAATAAAGTAAAATAGAAATCCTGGTTAAGCTGTAAGGATAGACGCTGTGGAAAAATTGTGAACAAATCTCTTAATTTCCTCCATCATTTAGGTGAGTAAGGAAAATAATTTCCCTACTTTCTTTCCCCTTTTGTTCCAAACTCAGTTTTTAGTGATTGCGCACAGTTGTAGGTTTTATCATATAACATAAAGATTAGCCATTTGGACAATCATTAGCTAAATTAAAATGCATGATTAAAAAAAGTTCAGCCTGAGAAAAACACAATGCAGGTTAATGGTGGAAAAGACCCCGCCAATCTTTAAGCCACTGGGATTGAAATTTCATGGTCTCTGAGGATGACTCATTGCTTAGCTGTGTCATGAGTTTCATTTTGAAATGAAATACACTATGTGGTTTCATCTGAGTCTTCATGTTGATGCAAAAAGGAAATGAGCCCACACTGGGAAGTTAGGTTGAAATACATATATTAACAATGACAAAAGTGTCAAGATGCTGTCCAGCCATCCTCCCTACCACCCTTCTGGCTGTTCCATAACCATATAACACCTGTCTCTCTTCCCTACTTGTCTGAGAACTCAGAGAGCAGGAACTGGTAAAGCAAAGAGAAGGTTCCCGATGAATGGCTGTTGAACGAACCAGTGAACATCAGGTCAAATCTTCCTGAGTAATTGTTGATGACAAAACTCTGTATTCACCTTCACTGAATTCACACATTTGCCAAGAACAGTCTTGTTTATAGGAGCCACTTTACAGTGTTATTTTCACAATAATAGTCACATTCCTGGACTTGGATATTCTCTTGAGACACATAGGGGAGGAGGGGTGCTGAATATAGGAAGTATACTGGCAGCAAAGCAGATGGGGTGAAAATGGAGTAAGATTAATAATTTTAATTTTATTTTATTTTTATTTCAATTTACTTTTATATATTTTGAGTATGTACTATGTTCCAGATTCTGTTCCAAGGATACTAGACTTTGTATCTTATTTCAAGGAATTTATACTCTCATGGTACAGAGTGAGGGCAGAAAGGAGAATTCTTAGATAACCAAAGAAATTAGAGAACAAGAAAAAACTGTATATAACAAAATACCCAACTGAATTGTAAAGTGGTACAGCTTAGTTTTATTTCTTTTTCTTTTTCTTTTTTTAAGAGACAGAATCTTACTCTGTCATCCAGGCTGGAGTGCAGTGGTGCATTCATAGCTTACTACAACTTTGAACTCCTGGGCTCAAGTGATCCTCATGCCTCAGCCTCCCTAGTAGATGGGACTATAGACGGGTCCCGTCATGCATGGCTAATTAAAAAAAATTTTTTTTGTAGAAACTTAGGTCTTGCTGTGTTTCCCAGGCTGGTCTTGAACTCCTAGGCGAAAGGGAGCCACCACGCCCAGCCTTAGCTTAGTCTTTAGATGCACAAGCTTTTAAATCAGACTAGGACTGATACTGGCTCTATCATTACTAGCTCTGAGACCCTAAAGAAACTACTTAATCTAATCCTATCTACTGTTTGTAAAATGGGGATAATAATAATATTTACACTATAAAGTTATTATGAAGATTAAAGAATATCATTCATGTACAGCATGCACCTCACAAGCAGTACCAGATCACTGAATATGAGCTCTTAGTGATTAAAGGCAAGAATGAAAAGGACTAGGAAAATAGCTTCAGTAACTTGAGTTTATTTTAAAATTTCTGTGGTTAATCCATATAAAATATAGTGTTTTGCTAAAAGATGTCATTTGTTAATTGTATACCAGTTAAAATCACCATATAATTTTGATTGGCTTTGATAATAAGCATTGAGATCAGTACTTGCTGTGGAACATTACCAAAGTGAATATCTTGAACCTTCTTCTCAAAAGAACACAGATAAGGATCCAGAGAACTGCTTCATTTCTGACAACCAAAAAAGCTTGTTCAAATTATAATATAACCACCATGCAGTCCAAGGGAAATATGTGTACTTTTCTAGAACAACAGTTTTGATTCTGGAAAAGGGAATAAATGCTACAGAGAGTAGCTGAAGAAACTGTTGAAGGTTGGCAATTTTTCAAAACTAAATTTCCATTTTCTGACCTACATAAATATTTTTCTTACTTTTAGAATATGAACTCCAAATATTTTTGGGGGGGGATATCCTCTTTTTCTCTGTCTTATGCTAGCTATTTGCCTTATGTTTTATTGAGAATGAGGCCTGTCTATGTGGACTCTTTCAATATCTCTTAAAGGGTTAGCCTCTTGTCCTTTTTTCTTGCTCAAAAGAAGGTAACCTATTCTTTTTCTCACCAAAAACACTGCTTTTATTCTGTTACTGCTCAATTCTTCTCAGTTTCCCTATCTTCCTTCCATCTTCAATTTCTCCTTCTCTGCCACAAATAAGGCTAGGGCACTCCCTGTCCTAAAATAACCCTCCTCTGACCCTGTTACCGTAGCAGGCTATTGCCTTATCTCTTTTCCGTTCACTACCACACTTCTTCTAAAAGAGTTCAAATTCTGCTTTCACTTCCTGCTCATACATTCACTTCTTAACCCCTTGTAATATGGCTTTTACCTTTCATCCTCCGTGAAATCATGTCTGGAAAGTCACCAGGAATTTCATATCCAACAAATCTGATGGACTATTCTCAGTCCTTATTCTCCTTGTCCTCTCTGCAGAACTTTCACTTCATGGAATTTTCTCCTCTTGTGATGTATAGCCTGCCGGTTCTTTTTGTCTTCGTGAGAACTTTTCTTTCATCTCTTTTACCAGCTGCTTTTTCTCTCCATTGCTCTGTAATGAAAATATTATTTTCTACACAATCTTTGCCTTGAGTAACTTCTCATCCATTCACATTGCTTTACACATGAATTCCTTCAATCTCTTTTCCCTTGATTTCAAAATCTCTCTCCTGATGACTCTGAAATCTAGCAATTTCCAACTGCTGTTAGGACTTTTTTTACTTAAGGAACCAGCCAGGATTTCAAACTCAGCTTATCTAAAATGAAATAGTCTCCATTCTAATTTCATTTTAATTCTTGGCATAGTATAATGATTGCTATTCCAAGACAGAATATATGCTGGCAAACTGTCAGGTATTTGAAAATAGAGGAAATTCCCTGGAAAGAATGAGATGTAGTAAAGAGAGGAAATGAGAGTATACTGAAAAGACTAGCTGTGAATTATCACAGAAGCACCCCAAATCCCAGATGTGTCAGGCAGGTTGATGGGATACTGGAATCCCTCTTGTAAAGGCAGTCACTTTGACAGAAGCAGAGATAAAGCAGCCCAAGTACATGGAGGAGTTCATGGTTTGGGGACTGTAAGTGCTGAGTACATGCTGGTACTCAATACAAGCTTGTCAATTGATGGACCATAGGCTTGTGATAGAACTTCTTAGAGTCAGACTTTTCTAGGAATCTAAGAGTAAGATAAGCACCTCAGAAAATGCCTGCATTTGCAGGTCACTCAATGTCATTGAGACTAGTAGGATTGGCTTGGCTTGGCTAGGATTTAATAATACAGATATTCCTCAAATTATGATGGAGTTACATCCTGATAAGCCTATTGTAAGTTGAAAATGCCATAAGTAAAAAATGCATTTTTATTTATTTATTTATTTTTTAAAGAGATGGGTTCTTAGTATATTACCCAGGCTGATCTCAAACTCCTGGCCTCAAGCAATCCTCCCACATCAGCCTCCTGAGTAGCTGAGATTATAGGTTCAAGCCACCACGCTTCACCCCAAAATGCATTTAATATACCTAACGTACTGAACATTATGGATTAGCCTAGCCTACCTCAAATGTACTCAGAACACTTACATTATCCTATGGTTGGGCAAAACCATCTAACACAAAGCCTATTTTATAGTAAATTATAGAATATCTCATGTAATTTATTGAATACTGTACTTAAAGCGAAAAACAGAATGGTCATATGGGTACTCTAAATATGGGTTCTATGAATGCATATCAGTTTTGTACTATCATAAAGCTGAAACATCATAAGTTGAACCATCATAAGTTGGGGATAGTCTGTAGTCATATCTTACTCTTATGGAAGCCATTTATTTCACATCCAGAAATCAGAAATCAAAATTAAGAACTCGGAATGCAAGAAGGTCTTTGAGTAGCTAAATTAAGTACAATTTTAAATAGTTCTTTAAGATGAAAAATAGCAGCTTAACTGTTATCAGCCCTTTCTTCTGGTTAAGACAGCATACATCTATGTGGTTGCAAAAGTTTTACTTCATCTTAAATTTGTCTAGAAAGAATAGTATTCAAAACATACTTTTAAGTGTAATATAGAGTATGGACTCCATTGAACACATTTGGAAAATGAGGAGGCAATCTCTGAAAAGGGATGATTTTAGTGAACTTTGCATAAGTTGCTTAGCATTCAAGGTTTGTGACAGCACAGGCTATGATTGTCCCCTCCTACAGCTTTGGGTATCTTAGGTTTGAACATACACCAATAGCTCAGGGAAAATTTGTTTATTTATCATTTTACCATCAAATACACCATTATAAATATAACAAGCAAAGACCAAGAAAATGGCCAAATTATTAATATTGATGTTTTATTTCAAATGCAAGATAAAGAAATCTTGTTAACTTCATTCTCCTGAGCAGTTGTTTATACTCTTTGAACTGTAAAAATGAGTATTTGAAATGATTCCTTTTAAGCTTTCCTTCCTCTGTTTCACTCTAGTTTCTGCTAGGCATCACTTTCTAAGAAGGTTCTAAAACTTCAAAAAATTTCCATTTGGCCTTTTTGATTGTGCTTTCTGTTGAATTCTGGTGCTCTTCCTTAAAATTTGCATGATTGGTTTTTTAAATAATTCTGCTGGCATCATGGTCTCATACAATTATTATTCTAGGATTTCTTGAACAAAAGTCATAAAACTTTTATTAAATCTCCAAAATACTGAGGAAAACACTTTCAATCAGCATATGAGAACAGCCTATGATTGCCTTCTGTTGATTTGCTGCTTGTTTGGCAGGATATTGCAATCACGCTTTCCACTACCAGGTTCATATGGGAGAACTTAGGAACTGCTCCATAACTGTCACATCTGTGGACAATTTCAGATTTTTCTGAATTTCCCTCATTATCTTCTGTATTTTCACTGGTTTCAAGTTTACTCATCAGACTTCCTGTTTTTAACCACTGATCCATGCTCCCAGTTGAAGATATAGTTTGAAACTATTCACTTGAAAAGTTAAATGTAGTGTAACTCTGCACAAGAAAACTTCAGAATTTGGTGTTATTTTGTGTTATGGGAGAATTCATTGTGTTTAGAGAAGGAACTAAGCATGGATATCTATTTGTAAACAAAAGTATTTGATCATACAATTGCAGTGATAATTTAACTGATCTTTGGGAATTGTGTGTGTGTGTGTGTATGCAAAAGTTAAAAAAACTCTACTGATTCCTTTTTAAAAATCTTATTCAATTTTATTCTAACAATGGCAGATAAAATCCTAACATTTGTTTCTTTTTTCTATTTTTTTTTTGGTAGAGACAGAGTCTTGCTATGTTGTCCAGGCTGGCCTCCAACTCTTGGGCTTGAAATTCTGGGCTTGAGTGACCCTCCTGCCTCAGCCTCTCAGGTACTTAGGACTACAGTCATGCTCCACTGTGCCCAACTGCCCCATTCATTCTTAATGGGACAGACTCATTTAAAAAAATCAACTACAAAGACTCTGTGGAATTTCCCATAGATTATGTAACCTGATAGACTAGCACTATTTTTCCCACCAGGTAGTGACATTACCTTAAGGTATTCTCATCTTAGATATGTTTTCAGCTTTCCTTACTATATGAGTCATGTTTATACCATATGATGTTGTTCACTCTTATTGGAGCAGGGGTGATAACCTGACCAGCCTGACCAATCAGACACTCTGTTCTATAATTACGGGATTGGGACTAACACCTTCTAGTTTGCAACGTGCAGCTGCTTTGGAAACGAGGTACTGGTGGATAATACCCTCTTAAAACCCTCTTAGGTATGGAGAACAATCTGTTCCTTTACAAAATGAGCACAGACTACTACATCTTTTCGAGTTCTTGTATTTACTTTTTATATTTTCTGACTTGGAGCTTTTAGCTGTCATTTCTTGTTGCCATTTTGGTGCCCATTCAAGAAACTAACAGTAATGGTGAGTTTCTCCATTTCTGCCCCTTTTGGGTCCATACTTTTTATACTGGCCCTTCTGAATATTTTAGTTGAAGGTGTACCACAAACACTTCTGATCATTGAGAACATACTGGTTTCCCAATATATCTTGGCAGAGGTGTAGACTTATTTCCTTTTAGTTCAGTTGAAGTAATATTATAATTTTCCAAAGGAACTTTGGTGAAAACTAAGGGTGGAGAATGGTGGGAGTAGAGGGGGGAAAGCATAGAAACCAATGAATTCACATAGAGCAGGGTCCTGATCTGTACTGTATGTCCAAATCTACTTTGGCCAGGACAGCTTTAGGGCAATTAGCTCCTAGTCCCTGGTCTAGCTTTAACACATTGACTGCCACACTAGAAAAATGTTTTTTCCTTGGAGCCAGTGTTTTATTATGAAAATAGAATAAAAACTTAGAAAATAAAATGATCCTTTATAATTGAATTAAAAATTTGTTATTTTTTATTGTTTTCTGTGTGTGAGTTATATGCAACTTGAAAACAAGTTCTCACAGCTCCCAAGGTGAAGAGACGTGTGAGTTAGATAAGCTTCATGAAGTCTCAGGCTCAAAACTAGTGTGAGTTAAATACAACTCACATGGCAGTTAATGTGTTAAACTTCTATATACTGTATATATATTTGAATGAGTACAAAATTTAAAAAGGAGACACTAAAAGCACAAACTACAGAAAGGAAAGAAATATAAATGGGATTTTATCAAAATTAAAAATTTGGGGCTTCAAATGACATCATCAAAGAAGATAACAATGAATGGAATGCAAGAAAATATTTGCAAAGCATATCTCTGATAAGGAATTTGTATTCAGAATATAAAAGAACTTTTATAATTAACAATGAAAAGATAAATAATCCAATTAAAAATAAGGAAATAAATTAAGTAAACATTTCTCCAAAGAAAACATACAAATTGTTAATAAGCACATGAAAAAATGCTCAACATCATTAGTTATTAAGGAAGTGCAGATCAAAACCACAATAACACTCTCATCCACTAGGATGGCTAAAATAGAAAAATCAAAACACACCAGACAATAACAAGTGTGTGTGTGGGCACATGGGTGTATTTTTTTACTAGGCTGCTGTTTCCTTTTAACACTCTGCGTAAACTCAGCCACAAGTAGCATTAGTTATATTTAGGTTTCATTGCCATAGAACTTTACAGTTTATTTATTATGACCTTTACCATGTATTGTCTGCCTTACTAGATCTTTGCAGCTATGTAAGGTTGGCAAAATGGTACATTATTTTCTCTTTCTGAAGATAAACTCAGTCTCAGAGATGTTAAGTAACTTGGCCAAATCATCCTATAAATGGTTAACCTAGGACTCAAATTCAGGTTTTCTTTATAAGATACACACCACTTCTTAAACAATACTGTCTCACATTTAACCGCAATGTTTAGATGGCTTTAAAATAGTATATTAGTTGGGTGTGGTGGCCTATGCCTGTAATCTGAGCACTTTGGGAGGTCAGGGT